TGGCGCTTCGCGGTCTGGTGCAGTTCTCCCTGCGCCGCCTGCTGCGCGCGCCCGGCCCCGCGCCCTTCAGCGCCCCCCGCGCCAGGTACGGGGCGGAAGCAGAGCAGCAGATCAGGGCGGGAGTCCGGGGCAGGGAGCTCAGCAGCGGAGCAGCAGATAAGGCTCGGGGCAGGGAGCTGCAACCAGAGCAGCAGGGGTGGGCACAGGGTGCAGAAGGCAGAGCAGCAGATTTGAGCAGGGAGCTCAGGGTGGGGGACAGCGACTGGAGCAGCAGATTGGGGCTGGAGCTGAAAGCAGAGCAGCATCTGAGGCTTGGGGAAGGGAGGCAAAAGCAGAGCAGCAGTGTGGGCAGGAAGCCCAGGGCAAGAGGCAGCGTAGCATGGGGTGGGGGTGCTCATGGCAGGGAGCAGAAAGAGGCTCAGCAGATGAGCTCAGGGACCCAGGGCATGGGGCAGAAAGAGGCTCAGCAGATCAGGCTTGGGGCAGGGAGCTGAAAGCGGAGCAGCAGCTCAGGCAGGGAGCTCAGAGCAAGGAGCAGGGAGTGAAGCAGCAGCTCAGGCAGGGGAAGGGGTCAGAACGGGAAATCGCAGACTTAGCACTGTGTCCTGTTAAAAGGGCAGATTCAGAGCTGCCGGTGTGTCCCTGACTTGTGGAAGGCCGCCTGGCAAGAAGCAAGTGCTACCTGCCATATCTGCCATGAGTAGCCAGAGGCGTTTTTCTAGAGGTGGGGTGCAGGGCATGTTGCTGTGCCATTGAGCCTCTGGCTTGGGAAGGGAGTTGATGACTGTAAGAGCACGTTCCTTTGTGGCCAACATGCACGTGTCACATCCAAGAGATCTGCGCTGCTAATTATTGGATTTTTACCTTTTTTAGAGAGTATCTTGAAAACATAACAGCATTTAATTCCCGGACAGTTGGAAGTCCAGAAAATGAAATTCTCACAGTGAACTACCTCCTGAAGCAAATTAAGAGAATTGAAGCTGCAAGCAGTGACATCCACAAGATTTCCGTAGATATACAAAGGCCAACAGGAACCTTCACGATTGACTTTTTAGGAGGCTTTACCAGTTATTATGCAAATATCACCAATGTTGTTGTTAAACTGGAGCCCAGAAACGGAGCTTTACATGCAGTGCTGTCTAATTGCCACTTTGACTCTGTAGTTAATACCCCAGGTAGGTGCATGCATGTGATCTTTTCTTGTCATACTAGTAGAGTATGTATTTGATAGCAGATGTATTTTTGGCTTCCAGAAGTTCTTCACACTTACCCCTGAGCAACTTTTGCTGCTCTTTCTTCTGTCTGTCGTATGGGGATAGCTTGAAGTAATTTCTTTTTCAGGTGGGGAGCAATGATGGATACAGTAGCGTAACTAGAGGTGGTGCTCTTTACATCTCTTGGATTAAGGGTTGTTTTGCCTGGGCACATGTATTAACCATGTTAAAAATAACACAGTAATTGTTTTATTCTACTGATTCTAAGGAGCCAGTGATGATGCTGTCAGTTGTGCAGTGATGCTTGAAATACTGAACACTCTTTCAAAGTCAGCTGATCCCCTTCAACATGCCATCATATTCCTCTTTAATGGTGCAGAAGAAAGTATCTTGCAGGTAATTATAATTTGAATACCAGATTTTTACAAAGCTTTAAACAAAAAGCGGCTGGCAATGGATATAGTAAAGTATGACTTCCAATTTACAGATCTAATTGCAAGTTAGAGGTGTTCATCAGCTTTTCTTATGAGTAAAAATTGATAGGCTGTTCATTCTAGATATGTTATGAAAGGTGTCCATAATGATATAGTAAGTAAATGTGTGGAGCACTGCAAGTAGCAAATGGCACCATTTTTCTCAGATCATGGGAGTGAAAACTCCTGTGTGCTCTCTTGCCCTCTGACATTGTTAAGTGGTTTATGGAACTTCATCTATGAATCATTATATGTAGCATCAGATAAAATTTGCATAAAATACTTGCTTAATTCAAATGTAATGTTTTAAGTGCTCTTGATTTCCAAGGGATGGTGGCATAGAAATTTCTGTGTGCTTTAAGGAGCTTTTCATCAAGTCAAACAAGTCAAAAATTAGTAACGTTGCAGATTGCGTCTTCTCCCTCAGCCCTACGAAGAGTGTGATTCCGTGGTAATTTCCAATCAATATATGCTAGGACAGCTAGATAGCTTTCCCTGACTGAAGGTAATAGATGTAATAAGTCTGAAGGTTCTGCTTCTCTGTAAGTCTGAGTCTCGCTTCCATTAAGGCCATTTCATACCTTTCTATGTAATCATGTTTGTGCAGGATTTGGCTGAGTGGGACAGAGATGGGGGTACTCTAGTTTATCAAAGTACAGATGTTAATAGTGTAGCTCAGACTTCAGACAGTGAATGGGGCCACAGACTGTCATGGAATAAAAAAAGTGGAAACATCTTGTGGTGATGGTGTTACATAACCTCTGAGGTTGTGGTGATGGTTCCTTGTGCCTCAGGTAAAATTCTTATGCAGTTATTTGTTACCATGGGCTCTTGTTATAGCCTTGTGGTTCTAGGAAACTTCTGGTCTTGCTGCAGCATACCTGTGATCTGCGTTGTATTAAAATTTGAATTTGGGTTGCTTCTGTTTGTGGGGTAGGGAGGAAACAATTTAAGTTTTTGTCAGATTTTTTTATATGCATCTTCTTTGCTTCCCTTCAAGGCTAGTCATGGTTTCATCACACAGCATCATTGGGCCAAGTCGATAAGAGCATTTATTAACCTGGAGGCAGCAGGTGTAGGAGGAAAAGAACTTGTTTTTCAAACAGGTATGAGCACTCATTACCCTTCCTACTTGTACACCTGCAGTGGTGTGCTTAAAGTGAAGCAATATTGAAAAACCTCACTGGCAGGAATAAGGGAATTTTTACACAAGGTAGAACATGCATGCAGTAAAATCCCTGTTGTCTGACATTTGAGTAACTGGAATACTTTACTAACCAGAATTTCTAGCTGGCCGGCTGGACGCACGTGGCAGCTGCTGTCATAGGTAGAACAAGAAAAAATGTTGTGGGTGGGCTGAGCACACACCCGCAGGTGGGAAAGTTTGCGAGGGGTGAGGGGAGGGAGGCTGGGGCTGGGGCTGAGCAGGGATTGGGAGGGAGCAGAGCCGGGACCAGGGTTGGGATCAAGGCTGGGCCAGCTGCACCCATTCCTTCCCCTGCACCTGGGGTCATTTCCTGGCACCGCCACATCCCAGCCCTGCATCGCCTGGGGGGGGCCCAGATCCAGGAGGGGTGTTGGCTTCCAGTGCTGCATGAGGCACGGGGGGCGCATGCCCCTGGATCTGCACGGGGTAGCGTGGGCTGCAGCTGTGGGCTGGGGCCGGGGCAGTGCCGGGCTGTTCCTGGTGGGGGTGGCCGCGCTGAGCTCCGGATGGGCGGCAGTGGTGCTAGGACTTGTCAGCCTTGCTGCCTGGTCCACCCAGTGGCAGGATGCACATGGTGTCACACCGCCCCACTTTTGAAGCAGCGGCAGCAAGGCATGGAGGCAGGGAACAGAACCCAGCCCGCAGCTGCAGCCTACCCTTGCGCCATGCACAGATCGAGGGACCACATGCCTCCCTTTTTTTCCCCTCGCTGCACCTCTGGATGAACTGCCAGGCTCTGATTGCCCCACAACCTGGCCCAGCCTGGGTCACGGAACAATCCCCACAGTGCAGGAGGGAGGTCTGTTGCAGGGTTCCGTGTCTGCCGAAACATCCACCCTGTGTTGCCACCGCTCTGCATCTGGCTTCCCACCACCCCCCATGGTCCAGCCAAAAACCACCAGCCTCAGGTAACTGGTGTTTTTAGATATCTGGCACCACCCATTCCCCACTCATGCCAGATAACAGGGATTTTACTGTATTTGCTTACATTACAGTTGAGCTATACAGGGCCATGGCATAAGAAAAGAGAAAGTCAGTGGCAGTGGGACATAACGTTTTTCATGACATGTATGAAAATTCTCTGCAGCGCAGATGATGCTTTTATTTCAGGCATTTTAAGGTTATTTTGTGTCAAAGTAGTCAATATTAAGCAGATCTGTGGGGTACAGGGCTGATCCTGTAGTGGCATAACAGCTTGCAGTTCTCACTGATTTGTCTGCATGCAGGCTTCCATCTGCTTGGAGGTTGGACAGACTGTTCTAGACTACTGTATTTTAATTCTAACAATATACTTTATAAATAGGCCCTCTATATCCAATTTCCAAATACATTTATAGGTTTTTAATGAAATGCTGGGTAGAGTAATAAACCAGAGACTGGAATCAGGGATGTGTGCATGTTATTTCCAGTTTTATCATTGATGTGTTGTGTTCTGGAAAGCATAGGTGGAAAGCACTAACTCTGCTAATACCACAATAGATAGAGCAGTAGCCTGGAAGAGGGCTAGTTGAGGGCTCAGTTTCCTTCCCATCTGTGACAAAGCATCTTCAGCAGTATAGTCTGGGAGGATGTACACCTCTCCAAGAGAAGGTTGGGTGTACTTATTCCCTGGAGCTTCTCCCTTCTGCCTTTCCTTTCTGAGCTGCCTCTCAGTGACTCACCCACCATGCCTTCATGGGATGAACTGGCAAGCTGAGCCTCAGGGATCCTGGGTTGCCGAACATCAGGTCTTTGTCTGGTTGGGGTTACCCAGGCCCCAACCAAGTTTACTCTAGCTGCACTGGTTAACCCAGGGCCCACTGTTCAGGACCACAGGCTCCCATTTTAGTGGGACATGCTCTCAATGCAGGATTGGTAACCTAGAGTTGGCTTGTCCTTTTTAAAGGCTCCGCCAGCTCTTCTGAGTCTGGCTTACAATTAGTCTCTCATCACCCTCACTCCCGTCGGTCAACACCAGCTTCTCATCTGCTACACTGGCTGTATCCCTCTGTCTGTCTATGCACTGTTGCTTGCAAGTGCTGGGATTTCGGGCTGCCGCCCTTGCTCATCCCTTCATGCCCACCTCCACCCCTTCAGCCACCTCCTGGACCACCAGGTTGAGGACCCCTGGCCGGGGGTCAGTAATACAAAATCTCCCTACTGTGAGTTGGCCTCATCCTCCTGCCGTTCTTCCTCTAGTTCAAATGTAAATTGCAAAAAGCAAATAAGGCTTGACACTTACCTGTCTCGCTGTGGTGTTGTTGCCAGTCTTCCTCATCTGGCCAGCGTCCGAACAGTTCTGCATCTGTTCCTCTCTCTCTCTCTCTCTTTACCAGGACCCTTCCTTCCTGCAAGACTTCTGCTGCTTTTCCCCCCTGCCCCTATCTCGGGTTGGGCTCACATATAGTCAGCCTGAGTCACCTGACCCTGGTGCTTCCACCGTGAGTACTCTGGGGCCATCTCTCCCTTCACCTGGCCTCCTCTCTCCTGGCCTATGTGCTGTCTGACCTGCTGTGATAAAGCCTTTGTCAGTCAAGAACAGCACACATATGTGGCATGGGGAGAGGGAGGGTTAGGGCTAGTGCAGCTGCAGAAGAAGGAAGAGGGGGAAGAGCAACAGGAGAAAGAATGATAAGCCCCAAGGAAATCAAAGGACTGACTCAGATACCGGTGCCCTTTAGTTATGGGTGAGCATTGCAAAGGATACTTATAGGAGGGCTAGAAGGAGAACAATAGAAAAATAGGGAAGGAGAAAGCAGCCCAGGAATGTGGAAGATACAAGGGAAAATAATCTACATCTGCTTGATACAGGATTTGTGGGTTGGAACCCAGAGGAAAGTGGTGGCCTGGGTTCCCTTTCCTCCCCTACCTTGTGGGAGGGGAAATGACAGCTCCATCAGCTGTTGAGATGTGAACTTAACTAAATGTTAGAATAGGTATTCTCATCAAAGGAGGAAATCAGTTGAGGTGTTCTAGAGTTTAAAAAGTGCTGCTGTCATGCTCACACGTGCAATATTGTGAAGTGTTGCCACTAAAAAGCTTGGGTACTAAATGGAAAAATCTTTAAAGGATCAGCAAAGCAAAGCAAAGCCAAGTGAATTACAGCAGGAATGTTGTCTAGGCTTGGAGTAGGCCAAGAGGGCCCACTGCCTCAGCCAATGCCTTAATTGTAGTATAAGATCATTAGGCTAGTGTAGAACTGGAAGTATCTTGGGCAGTAGGAAATAATAGTCCTTAGCTCCCTAATGCAGAATCCCTGGATTGGAATGCAAAGGAGAGGATGGATTTCAGTTTTGAAGCAAGAGGGAAAGTTCTGTAGATTTTACTGTAACTTTGAGATCCTTCCTACCTTCAGTGAAATTATCCTTTTTATCTTGTATATACATCTGTCCTGAAGAGTTTGTATTCAAATACTGAATCATTGTGCTGTTGCCTATGAGAAGCAGAAAGTGAAACCAACTCTAGTCAAGTAAAATACAGGTGCTCTGCCTGTCCCCCCCCCACACCTGGGCTCCACTTGTCCACACTCACCTCTGCTCCTGGGCTGTGCTGTGCCCTGGCGCAGGCAGCTGGTGTCAGTTGCTCCTGGGGCCACTCCAGCATGGTCTAGGGTGAGTGCAGACAAGTGAAGCCGGAGCCCCTGGCAGCATGGGGTGTGGCACTCACCCCAGCCTTGGGAGCAGCTGACACCAGCTGCCTGCACTAGGGCACAGTGCAGCCCAGTGGCTACCAGCAGCTGACATCAGCTGCTCCTAGGGCTGCTGCAGCAGGAGCTGGGGTGAGTGGGGACAGGCAGAGCCCTGGGGAGTTAAGGGCACGGTGCAGTCCAGCGGCTGCAGGTAGCTGGTGTTGGCTGCAGCCAGGGCTGGGGTGAGTGCTGTGCCCCGCGCCCGCCGGGGCTCTGCTTGTCCGCACTCAGCCCTGCTCGTGCTGGAGTGGCCCCGGGAGCAGCTGACATCAGCTGCCTTCACCAAGGCATGGCGCAGCCCAGGAGCAGAGGTGAGTGCAGACGAGCAGAGCCCAGGCACGGGGGGCACAGGCAGAGCATGGTGCAGCCCAGTGGCTGCAGGCAGCTTGTGCTGGCTGCTCCTGGGGCTGCTGCAGCTCGGGCCATGACCCTTTCCCCTCCCCCCACAGACTTACCTGCTTGGGCAGGGGAGGCATTTCTGCTGATCACGTAAGAGTGAATTTACCTCGCATATAACAAATTATGGGGTCTAAATATGCTCATCGCATAAGAGCAAATTTTCATAAAAAGAACCCGCATAAATCAAGGGAAACCCATATTGCAATTTGTATTGCAGTAGCAACCATAGGATCTGCTATCTCCTTCATGTAGGCTATTTCTGGCAGGGGGGTTGGGCCACAGCTGTGCTCAGGGTGGGCGGCAGCAGCCCTGGGAGGGGGGGCTATGGTGAATTTTGAGGTGGCTGTAGCACCCCACCAGGAAGAGCCTGGCACTGCCCCCAGCTCCAGCCTACAGCAACAGCCTGCCCTTACCCCATGCACATATCTAGGGGGCACATGCCCTCTGTGCCTTCCATGGGGGTGCACGCTATGGTGGGAGCCACTCTCCTCCTCCCCATGCCCCCCAAATGAGCTGTTTGCAGCTCCGTCTCACACCCTGTCTTGGCCTGGCAGCAGCTGTCCCAGCCCCGCTCCCTCCCTCATCATAGGGACCTCGTTCTGCCACCCCTACCCCTTCCCTCCTTTCTGCCTCTTCCTCCCAACAGACTTGCTAACAGTCCATGCTGCTGGGCTGGCCACATGCATGCTGTGCCTGCACGCATGCATGTGGTATTTATCAACAACATTATCGGCCACATCAGCCAAAGAAAGCCATTTGCCGATAATGTCTATTTTCCTTTTATCAGTGCTAATATGATATGGACCAATGTATCAGTGCACCTCTGGTTATCACTATTATATTCTCTTTATGGTCATAGATTACTGACTGATACAGTAGTAATATTTAAATTATTATTTTTCAAAAGGCTCAATTAAGGTTGATTTTTATCCTTGCAGTAAAAAGGTGATGTTTACTAGTAATTGAATACTGCTGTTAGTGTTTGAAATGGGAAGCTGGGTTTAGAGTAGCGTAAACAAGAGGCAAGTAGTAACCCAAATAAGTTGAATCTATAGCTGCTGCATTCAAATACTGTTGCATTTGTAATTAAGTTTGGTTGCTTGTCATGGGAGATGGGTGTAATTTTTTTATTTAAAAAGTAAGAATGTAATAACACAATATGTAAATAAGTTTTGAGAGAAATCCTTCTCTTAGGTTGATTTTAACCATAATTATGTGAAGTAGTATTTATTGCACAGGATACAAGTGAATGATTTGTGAAATGTGCATGAAGTACTAAAGAATAGGCATTTGACAGTGAAAGATAACGACATGGAAAAACCCTAGAAGAGTCAGTACATTGGAAAGGTTGTGGCTGGCAAATGGATATTGTGGTAGTGGTATGATCATGATAACAATTTCAATTTCTCCTTCTCCCCCCCCCCATCACTTCAATCCAGTTTACTATCTTAACTCCCAGTCTTATGCTATTACAGATCAATGTATTAGAGAGGTTATTGAAGTAGAAGCATAAAACTGATTTAAGGCTTAAGACTGAAATTCTGCAAACACAGAAATGCATGTTCCTCTCCTACTTTCACCCCTCCCCAGTCAAACAGTTTTCTCTGAAGTTGGCATTTTTCTGGTGAATGCTGATAAACCAGACACTGGCGATACATGACTGAATGTGCCTGTTCTACTTTGAGGATTTGCCTCATTTAGATGTAGGTGTACTTCCAGAATCCGCTTCTCTTTCCATTTTGGATAGATTCCCCCTCTTACTTTAGGGGAAGAGGGATGAGGTTGATCTCCCTGTAAGACGCATCAGTGTCCTGAGCAAGTTGGAAGAATCTGTGAAGAATAACATAATGTACAATCTGTCCTTGGCAACTGGGCTTTGCAACACTCCTGGACCTGGTTCCCTAAAACGGCATTTTGATCCTTGTCCCCTGTTGCTCCTGACTATTAAGTCCAGCGATTTACTGTTAGCAGCTTGTAGTTTTGGTGGTGTGGTAAAGAGAGATGCACTTCTTTACCAACCTCTGTTTCAGGCTTGTTGTTTCTTCTGGACAGATGTATGACAGGTGCCAGAAAATTCAGTCCTCTTTCCAGTGTAGCTAGTACTTGATTTCAATGCCCTAAGCCTTTTCAGTGACATGATTAAACTCAATGTAGCCTAAAGCTTTCTCAATAATTAGATTCCATATATGAAAAATGCATACATTTGTTATAATTTTCCAGGTATAGAACCTAATTCTATTACACAGCCAATTGTGGGGGGTTGTCTTAAATTTGTCCCCTCTACTGCTACAGCAGGGAAAGCAGTGGCAGGGGGTCAGGCAGCTGGAGAGGTAAGTGACCCCTTGAACTCTTCTCCCTTTCTTTCCCCTGCAGCCTGCCTTCCCTTTGTAGGGCCTACATCTCTGTGTCTGCCCAACCCCCCTTGCCCACCATTACTGTCAGATGTGGCCGTGGCTCCATTTCCTCCTGAGCATGTGGAAGCTGGGCCCCTGCCCAGCCACACAGTAGCATCCTGGAGCTGGAGCTGCAGTGCTGCTGATTGGCTGGGCTGGGGATGGAGCCTTCATGTGCTCTGCGTCTTTGGTGTGGTTAGAGATTGTGACTAACAGCAAGGGCAGGGAGAGGCAGGAGTTGGGGCAGGCAGGTGGTGTGGCTCTGACCCTGACCTGGGCTCGGAGTCAGAGCTGCAGCAACTGCCTGCCACCCCCTGCCCCCATTTAAGACAAAGGGCTTCCCCCCATGATGAATGTTGGGAGGCAGGGCATCTTTTCTTGCATTCAAGTAAATATAGTAATTATTTTCTGTGAAATCCCTTCTGGTGATTGAGGTCATTTGCACATTGAAATTTACAAAATGATTCTTCATTTTGTGAATCTTCTTCTCTCTTCTTGGCAGGACCTGAGAATCCCTGGTTGATACAAGCATATGTCTCTGCAGCCAAACATCCTTTTGCCTCTGTGATAGCTCAGGAAGTATTTCAAAGTGGATTACTCCCTGTAGAGACAGACTTCCGCATCTACAGAGACTTTGGCAACATTCCAGGTATGTTATTAAAAGGCCTCTATATTATAATTTTTTCCTAGGCATATAAAACGGGCCTGATCTTGTATACATTCACTTCATGTAAGAGAGAGTGGGTTCAGGTTCTAAGCCATACGTTCTTTTTCACATCTTGAAAATTAACTTGGGATTTGCATTAGCCTGTGTGGGGGTAGTATCTTTCCCCTGGAGCAGTCACTTTCCTGAGTTTTGATGTCCCTTGAAAATGAGGATCAAATAGTAAGAGACCAAAAAATCCTGTTCTTCAGTGAGCCATAACTTTTTGTGTCTGCTTCATGAATTCTTCAGCACTTAGGTGCCAACTGCTGTGGCAAACTGAAAATCCTGACCATTGAGGCATAGATTAATATTGCAAGTCACAGTTAATCCTAATTACAATTTAAAGATGCCAGGTTGTCAAAGTACAGGAAGTTTGCACGTATTAAATTTCCTTCTTCTGTGACAGCACTGACTATTATCGTTTACGTAGTCATCTCTGGGAAGTACCTCTTGACATATTTAGGTTATATAAAGCTTCAATTGTTACCTGCTGACTGTAGAAATATTGCTCAGTGATGGATAAGAGTTGGCAACAGCAACTGCAAATAAAATTGCCAGTGTACCTCCATGAAGAAACAAAGTATTATTGGGATCCACCATGGAGAAAAAACAAATTTACTTGTATGGTGGGAAACGTTCTTGGAAATTTGAACTATAATAGTGCATAGTTTAAAATAGTTAAATGTTTAAATTAGAGGTGTTGGTGGAAGTGGGGAAGTACTTGTTAAAAGAAAAGGCGTATATTCAAGAAATAAAGAAGAAAAGGGCTTTCCTTTTTACATTGCTGACAAATAGGTATGTTTTGAGAACTCATTCTGTTACCTCAGCAGAATTGTTCATCTGATCTGTTGTATCAGTACAGAATCAATTAGAGCACTAGAAATAGCCAGATGTACCTGCAGGTATAATTGATCCTACTGTGAGTTACACAGAGGTGCAGTGAAGGTAGAATTTGACTTGCCAGTAGTAGTAACTTGTCAAAAGGGAAAAAATCAGCAGGAGCCCAAGCAGAATTTGCAGCTGGTAATTAGAAAAACATCAGTTAACAAGAAAAAAGAGGACATGTGAAATTTGTTAAAGGTAACTTTTCAACTCCTTAATACCATTTTTAGTTGTCTTTCAGAGTAGAACTCCACTGAAACTTCAGGAATTATACTGGGGAAAACACAGAATTTTGATTTTTGCTTTGTGGCTTAATATGTGGTAGTTCACTACTGTAGATGGCCCACCTGTCACCAAGTAAACTTGAACTGAGTTTTAGGGCTTATGCTCATCTCGGAGGATGAAGTGATCACAAATGCTGAAGTAGATATCTGAATTTCTCTAATAGTGCGTTGTTCCGCTTTACTGGCACGCACAGTGTTTGCATGTGCAATGGGACCAAATATTTCCAAGTCTGTTATAATACTAGGATCCTAAATTTTACATTCTCTAAGATGTTAACAGACATTTATTGAAACTGCAGGGTGAGTCACATTGGCTGAACAAAAATATACTTTTGTTTGTAAAATGTTTTTGGAGGTTTCAAATATTTGCTTAGATTTTTGGTAACTGATTGTACTTTCTCTTTGTAGGAATAGACTTGGCCTTTATTGAAAATGGCTACATTTATCATACAAAATTTGACACAGCAGACAGAATTTTGACAGATTCAATTCAGAGGGCAGGTTGGTATTCTGACTTCTGTCAAAATTTAGGAGATACGGATCTTTGAGGATTGCTTCCTTTCCCCATAAAACTTGGCTCTACAAACTGAAAATTTCGTAACCCATTAGTAAGGGATAATTTAAAGAGAGAAGTCATAGAAAAATTAAAATCCAACCCCATCCTGAACATGAACACACACCCTGCAAATCCCTGGGAAATGAATCATGTTTCTCAGAACGTTATGGCTCAGGATTTATAATGAACTATAGACCCTATATCTGACTAGTTAATAATCAAAATCGTTATTGTCTAACGGCTATTCAGAGCTCACCACTTGCTGTTTTCTTGTAAAACTCTGTATTCTTGTTTTGGCATTCTCCACAGAGACAGAGGGTCCAAAGGGTGGCAAGGAGATTGAATCAAACAAAGTTGTCCTTTCAGAAGCAAATTTGCAAGGGAGTTGGGGCAAGCTATGCTGCTGCAGCCCATCCTGTACAGAAGAGAATTTGCTCTCCAGATCTGCTCAATATTCATCATTTTTCCACGCTCAATATTTACTTCTTAAAATAGGAGCTTATAAAATATTAGACTTCTGGAAAACTGAAGCATCCAAAAATATGCAAGGCATTACCAGGAATGTTAAAATTCCTTTTAGTAGCAGAATTGACCTGATTATTTTCTGGATTAGCCTCAACCATTTCTTTTTCTTTCTTTAATAGATACCATAGTAACAGTTAAATGAATTATAGAGCAAACTTTGTTAATTTTGAATTGTTCCAGTAACAGAGTTTTTTAAATCAGTCCAGGTGAGGATTTAGTAACAGAGTTTGTAAATCAGTCGAAGTGTGGATTTAGGCCAACTCAGGCTGGGGGAAGGGGGTCAGTCATAGAATCATAGAGCAGTAAGACTAGATGGGACTTACTGCTCTAACCCCCTGCCTGAGGCAGGATCGTCCTTATCCAAACCATCCTATACAAATCCATAATTTAAACTCCTTCATAAAACTGCTGTCAACCCTGACACAATATAAGACCTATCTGTCACAGGTAAAGCAGGGGACTCACAAAAGCCAATGTTCTGCTTCTGTAATATGCTCAGGAGATCCTAGGTAATATTTCTTCCTAATGCCAAATATGGTGATTGGTCTGACTGAGCAGAGGGGCAACACCCTCTAGCCAGGAACCTCCAGCTCTAAGTCCCAGCAGGAGCATTGACACATCCCGGTCAAAGTTCTCAGCCATGGCTGCAGCCAACACCCATGATGGCAATTCTGTCCACTCAAGGAATCATGATGAATTGAGTCATCTGGGCAGAGTTTGAATCAAGATATACCTCTTTTGTGATGATAAAACAACTTTTAAATATGTGTTTTTAGAGTAATATGGTTGCAAGATACCAAAATATCACTGTTGTAAAGTTGACTTGCTCCATTTTGCTATTTTATGTCAGTGGAGCTTTGATTGTTTCTAAACATTTTTATATTAAGGATTACTATAATAGATTGCTTTACCAGCCTGTTCTGAAGTTTTTCTAGCTATGTAAGAGGAGACCAGTAAAAGGTCTTACCACATTTCTAATCTAAATTAGAAGCTTATTTTAAGACACAATATTTTCTAGTATTATTCTTTTTCTCTCGCATCCTACTCAACAGAGATGTGCTAGTCTTTCTGATATTCATTGTCTCTTCTTTTAATAGGGGACAATATTTTAGGTATGCTACAGTACCTAGCAACTTCAGATAAACTGGCCAGATCTTTTGAGTATCAGCATGGAAATACGGTCTTCTTTGATGTGCTTGGTCTCTTTGTATTGGCATATCCTGCTCGTGTGGGCACCATCATGAACTATATCGTAGCAGCCACTGCTAGCCTTTATATAGGCAAAAAATTACTGCAGCCCAGAAACAAGGGTAAGTCCAGTTAACCATGTGACTTTTTTTTTTTCCTAATTTTAACAGTAAACAGGAGCTCTTATGATTTAAAAAAAAAAAAAAAAAG